TTGACTACGTGAACCCAGGGGTTCGGCCCTGGAATTGACTTTCCGTGTAACGCGAGACGAGTACGTACGTACAACACCCCCCACGCGCAAATCGCTGACTATGAGCACTTCCAAACTCTTTAAGGGTTAGCTAAAAGAGTTTGGAAGTGCTCATAGTCGGGCGATTTTTGCGCGAGAAGGGTGTTGTACCGTTCGTACTCGTCTCGCGTGTCGCAAAAGTTTCACACAGCAGGTCAACACCAGGGCCGTACCCCTTGGGTTCAAGTAGTCACCGTCCGGTGGAGGCGGATCGCCCACCGGCACACGTACCTTTGCGCGGCAGCGGCAAGGGTGAGCGTCAAGGGAGCGCCCCCGCTGCACCCACCCAACGTGCGAGAAGCCCACAGGTCACACCCTGGAGACGTGCTCCCAGCGTCAACGGGAGGAGAATAAGGAAGCCCGCAAACGGGACAGCCACGCCTCAACAAAAGCGGTTCTGCCAAGAGGACCGCGTCCCGCACCGTAATCGATCCGACCGGGACATCGACGATGAGAGCAAGGAATAGGGGTGTCCTGCTACGGTGGGACCTCTCCTGCACATGGCAGGAAAAGCGCGAAGAGGAAACGCTCTGCGTCAGTAGCTGTCGGTACACCTGATACCGTTGTGCCCCGCGTCCGTGTCCGTAACAGCAGTAGTAGTCACGTAGCCTAGAGAAGTTCGTCGTCAGCGACGGGAGTATTCGCGACAGCACTGACATGGAGTCGGTCGGGTGACGCTACGGTTACTGCTGTGGACAAGTGGCCAAGACATAGACCATCATAGAGACGGACGCCATCAGCAGAAGGGATGGCGATTTGGACGGCAACCGAGCCATCGGATGCGTGCCACGTAGCAAGGGTACGGGCAACGACAACGTCTTCGAAAGGAAGAAGTGTGGTGTCGTGGGACAAGCCTTGTTTGTTCGGATCGTAAAAATAACATGTTCAGCGCCCCACGAAGGAATAGGCTCATGCGCTCCACGAACGAAGAGCAGAACAGTGGCCAACAGCGCCGCACAAGGCAGCTCAAGGCACGCATTCGGCGACGCGCAACTGCACGGCACGATCAGGTGTTTTCGCTTCTTGTGGGAATGACGGCGAGTGGGAAAATCTAACGCGCCAGATGCCACTGGCGTTTATTGGGCTGGGCTGAACCGTCCGAGAGGGCGCGTTCTCTGTCCACGAGTTTTGCCGCAGGGTTTCCTAGCTCTAATAAACCATGATGCCATGACCGAAATAAACGTGGACTACTTGGAGAGGGATTGCGGGTGGCACGCTGCAGTGACGATGATGTAAGCAAACAGGGTGGGGGTTTCTCTATCATTGCCTGTCTATTGCCACGGACCCCATAGTGTACACCTCGTGCGACGGAACAAAGTAGTCCCTGCCTGGCGCAGAGGCAACCACCTTAAGCACGGGGGCTCCGATCGTGTCTGGCACGCCCGTACACGGAAGCCTCTCTGACGCTGAACCTCGTCTTTCAATATCAAATGTTAACGTTATGTCGCCCCGAGATTTAAGATACAAGTTGCGAAGCGATCTTTTCTCATTTCTGCCATTCTTTGTGCATAAGGCACCCAACCACGTGTCACATCCCGTCAAATGCAACATGGTATGCGTAGCTCTCCCTACAGCAGCGCGTCTCTACTGCAATTTCCGTTGTTGGATGGTCCCTCACCAACTACTGCTGTCATGCGTTGCATGCATACACGGCGAGACCGGGCTGGATTTTCGGGCAAGTCTTCCTGCTGGCATCACCGTATCACCGTCCCTCAGTGAAGGATGAAAAGAACAAACAACAAACATGACAACCTGCAAGCAGTATCCAGCTGATGTCCGTCAATCCTCACGGTCAGGACTTACAAATACGATTCCCTTCAAGCTTCAACAGGAGCGGGTAGACTTTTCTGTGATGATGGCACAAGCAACTTCATGCCACATTGTTTCTCTGGGATGCATCATCGCGAAGCAAGGAAGCAGACACGTGAAACAATCTCGCGCCGAACGTCTTGAAACTCGCACACCTTCGGCGGCAAGGTAGACACAAACACAGCAGACACACACACACCCGATTAGACGAAATCTCTTGTATGCATACCGTAAGAGGCAGAGAGATGACACCCCCCCTAGGCCAACTTTCAAAGCTCGATTGCACCATGGCTGCGGAAAGAGCTCGATATGTCTAGAGAAAAGCCCTCGCGACATGTTTTCAAAACCACCATAGTTGGTATTCGCACAAGCTTGCTTGTGGAGCAATCGAGCTCTGAAATTGGTCTAGACGGGGGTGCACCATCTCTCCGCCTCTTTTCAGTAGGTGTCCCAAACAGATGGAAAAAAAGAACTGTTACCCACGGGGGAGATATCGCCGTGTGCTGCTCGGGAAATCGTCGAAATACAGGTAGCCTTCGCTGACGCCATGGATTCATTGCTAATCTACTGTACATACCATACTCCTTAGACTCTTTTTCTTAGAGATGGATTCAATGGGTCATACTAGGAAAAATGAAAAAAGAACATCCTCTCTCCGCAAAGAACAGAAAAATAATAACAGTGGTTTGCACCCCAGCAGCGCACCAAACCACGCACGCCAACAGGATGCCAATATGCTACATATTCTCTTCGGGACCCGAAAAACTGCTGCTTATCCTATCCAAAGCTCTTCTTTATTTTTAGGGCAAACCCTGAAAAGATCTCTCAATTTTGGGATTAGGGCAATCTCTCATGAGGCGGCAAAACTTGGGACATAAACGTACGACACACCCGTTTTCTCGCCAACTTGGCCGCCGGCGATGTGTGGCAGGTCGAAGATCAGCGGCGGCGGTGGTGGAGCCAGCTACGGATGCCGGCAACAAAGGCACCATGGGTTTGTGCTTTGCACCGAGGATAAGACGATAATTAATGGCCTATATAGACAACACGTCAGCACGAGGATTGACACAGCAGCACTGCCCACTGCCCACATTGGTTGAATTTGTGGGCAAGCTCATGTTTTCAGAGATGGTGGTTTTGGGACCAAGGCAAAGAGATCGCGTGTTGACGTTTGAAGGAACGAGAGAGCGCACCCAAAATCGTTGTGCCCAGTATCCGCAGCAAGGCACAACGAAAAGCGCGCTTGCTCAGCGGTTAACGAAACAGGGATAGCAACAAATAGCAGCACCCACCAAACATACGGTGCTCCCCTCACAAACCCATCGCCCACACGCCAACATGCGCTCTGTTGACCAGCTCTCTTGAGCTATACTACACCTTCGCTGCAGCTAACGTACGTGGGCATCGTCGCACACCACTCCTCATGTACGAGTTACACCGACCTCGTGTTTTCACGGTACCTGGGACGGAGGACGGAAGCCTCGAGTGCCTCCGGGGCTCCATCTGATCCAGCAGGGCCAGCTTCTCCTCCTTGTACCTCGCCTTCTCCGCCATGAGCTCCTCCAGCTGCCGCTGAAGGAACGCCCTACCCGCAGGAGTCCGGCTGCTCATCCCAAGAAAATCGCCACCCCTACCCCCGCTGTTCGTG